AGGTATGGGAGTGGTTACATCAGGTATGGGAGTGGTTACATCTCAGGAGGAGGGGAACATTTCCTTACTACCATATACGGTCTTTTTTGTGCCCTTTAGGAAATGAGGAAGTCACCTTAGGCATACGTGACCTAGCTGTTGGTCACGTAGGCTAGCCATTCGAAATCCTTTATTTCTCTTTCCTTGTAAGTATTTCATATTTAATCTGGAGGTATTTTTCTGATTTTCTGATTGTTGTCTTTCTGAAAGATCCAACCTCTTTTGAGCTTCACATTTTTCACTAGCTTGGGACATATTTTCTTGTTTTTCCTTCTACAAAAACTCTGAAGAATTCTTCCCTCTCTTCTACATGAGAGCCCTTTGGATACTTGAATACAGCTGTCTTTTCTTCTCCAACCTAAATATATCCATATCTCTAACCATTCCCTAAGCATTCACTTCCAGGATCTTTTTAATCTTACTTTGGACACAATCCAGTTTGTCTGTTCCTTCCTAAAATGTTTGTTCAGAACTGAATAGAATACAGTACTCTAGGTGTAGACTGATTAGTTCAAAATAGAGAGGAATCAATTATTGTAACTCAGATATAGCTTAAAGCTGCACTTGCTTTTTTGGGAATTGCATTATTCTGTAGCTTATATTCAGTTTGTGATCTGCCAAGAAAACCAAATCTTTTTTTGCAAGTACCAGTGCCTAATATGATTACCCTCTCCCCCCATGACCTTGATTTTTCCTATCCAAGTTTAACTTCGTGTTTCTCTCTGTTGGTTTTCATCTTGTTGCTTTTTACCCATTGTTCCAGCTTGTCAAGGCCCTCTTAATCCTATTTCTGTTCTCTTAACGTGTTTATTGTCTCTTTTGTGTGATCTTGTAAATTTGATATTTTCTTTATCTGCCATCCAAGTTATTTATGTTGAATAGCATAGGGCATATACTGGAGCTCCGTAGTTCTTCATTTGACACTTCTGGATGTGGAGACGCTGATGTACGTACACTCATTGGATATAATTTTTCATCCATTTCTAAATCCATCTAAAAGCATTCCTTGTACATTTTACTGTTAATACATTAAACAAGGGAATGCCACAGATTCTTTACTGATTCTTAAACTTGTTGAACCATTTGCAGAGAATTCAATTTATTCGTACACATACTTTACTTTCATCACATAAATATTGCTGTTATTGCATTCAGCAAAGAATATTCAACACCCTGTTATAAAAAATGTAATACTTCAAGGCTATTCATTTTATCACATGCTTTTTCTGAATTTGCAAATTCATGTTTGCATTGAGAGAAATATAACTTATCTTTTCTCTAAACGTGTTTAGAAAATAATGGTTTTTCAAAATGTTTTTCTTAATAGATTTGTTCATTTTTTGTGTTTAGTTATCTCTTTCACAATTGGCAGTGTTCACACATCACTTTAGGTCAAAAGCAAGTGAACTACATATATGCCTTAATGGAATATGTGAACCCTCGGTATATCTCCGTGCTATTCCATTAAAACATAATATGTTATTTGAGACTTGTTGGAGTCATTTATTCACAAGTCCTGAGTATGACTGTGGCTATAATAATGTAAGTTGTTCAGATGGGGGGAGGGGAGAAGCTGCACTGCTTTTGTTGTTTGAGTACCTAGGAGGAAGGAGATACTCAGGGGATAATCCAACAATGATTGAGCCATTTAAACATTAAGCCAACTGTATGAAGTCTGCTTTTGTTTATAAACAGTTTTCCATAAGAATATCTGTTCTTAATTTCAGCAAACATAAGACTTTAAATGAGTGGCTTATTTTCTCTGTCATTTTCAAGCTTAGGTCCTTATAAACAACTTTCAAACCATTAAAGATGATTAGTTACTTTCATTATTCTACTACAGAAGTATATTTCAAATTGTTAATAGTTTCAAAAAAGGCTTTATTCTACTATGTCCAGGTGTTTTTATCAAATACAACATTCATGACATCTATTCTAGAGTTTTATAAGTCAGTCTCTAGAATGTTCAGAATGTGTAATATTGCACATTGAAATTAATGTATTTTTGCTACTATTTTGATATGATAAAGTTTTAAAGAAATAATTTACAATATAATACCAATATAGAGTGACTGTTTTTCATGATAAATGTAGTTTATGTTCAGCTCAGTTGTATTGAGATCTGAGCAGAAATATTGTTGGCTCTTTACTTTATAAATGATTTGGAGCCACCTTGATTTTGATATAAGAGGGGTGGCTATATAAATCTTCGAAGTGAATAAATAAAATATTATTACTCTGCAAATCAGGAACTAGCCTTAAATATGCTAGATTCATTCACTTCTTTATCTTTGATGAATTTCCCCCTTCTCTTCCTTTTCCAGCCTTAACCCTAGTTAGCCTTACAACTGTTGTGACAGATTAATAATTAATGTTAGTAAGTCTTTAATTCTGAATTAAATTTGAAATAAACAAGCTGAGTATGAGTCAATTGAAGTGTAATGCTAAAGCAGATGACAAAAATAATATTTATGTCATGGGATTGGCCATAGTAAGTGTTCTAAAAATTTGATACAGACATACAAATCAAACATCAATTGATCGTTTAGTTTACACTTTGAAAAAAGGAACATAATTTCATTAGACCTAATTTCTGTGATTTACATATTCTTTGTTGTTGATTGTGATGATGATAATGTGATCATCTTTCTGTGTGTTTTTTTTTAAATCTTGATATGTAAGCTGCCTAGAACTGTCTTCATGACTGAAATAGTGTATAAATTAAATGTATCAAATAAAGAAATCCCTTTTAGGGGTTATGTGTACTTTATTTCTCATCCTCATGTATTCATACCATTGCCATGTTAAAAGACACACAAAGACAAATCTTGTTTAGTTCAGCTTCTGATGAGTTTGTGGATATATCCATGTAGTTTTCTTGATAACAATAACTAATTTTTCATTACTTTCTTCTGTTTTTTTTTAAAAAATTCACCCTAGATTATAACCTTGGGATTTTCTGGTAGCCACTCAGCTAAAGTGAGATCTGAACACATTTTAACTTTTTGGGGTTCAGCCAAATTCAGTTTGTTACAGCCATTTCTTCTGCTCCAAATCCATTTAATTGAGACAAGTGCTTGAACAGATATGCTACCTCAATTCCTTATAACATATAACATATACAGTTGGTTGTGACAGTATATTTATTGTATTTATTCTAAATATTTATCTTTCCCATTTGATTCAAAATAAAAAGCTCATTGTGATTTAAAATCTAATCAATATATTAAATATATTAAAAAGTTATAACTTTCAAACTAATAAAGAGAAGGACTAGTAAAATGCTGCAATCAATATGGAGATTAAGAGTTTGGAAAGAAATGTTTATGAGAAAAGAAAAAAATACCTTTCTGGAACAGTTTAGTAACTTGTAGTGAGTTACATTCTCCCCTCCTCCAATACCGTAATTCCTTGAAGCCTTTGATTGATTCAGTATGTGTTATAAATCTACAGTGGACTCTTTTGATTAACATTTATATAGAAGAAAACTCACTTGTATGTTTGAAGGATAGCAAGACTATAGTGGTGAGAGAAAGTATGTGACCGCTATCTGTAATTTTGCACAACACTGACCTACAAGAACTCCATCTAATTAATATTATAATTATAATAATAATAATAATAATAATAATAATAATAATAATAATAATAATAATAGTAGTAGTAGTAGTAGTAGTAGTAGTAGTAGTAGTAGTAGTAGTAGTAGTAAAGTTGGAAGGGACCTTGGAGGTCATCTAGTCCAACCCCCTGCTCAGGCAGGAAACCCTATACCATTTCGGACAAATGGCTGTCCAGTCTCTTCTTAATTCTTTTAAACAGGTAAAGAGATTCTGCTTAAATAAACACAATGGCTTGCAAGCATTGGTGGAATAATGGATTCTGGATTGTACCAACAAATTCTACAGAAGAATGTCAAAGTATCCATCAGTGAGCTAAAGCTTAAATGGCAATGAGTCATGCAGCTCAACACCAATTCTAAACACACAAGCACTGGCTGAAGTAGAAGAAATCTTGCATTTTTCAATAACCAAGCCTTGATATTAAACAAATTAGAATGATGTGACATGAAGGTATGACTTGAAGCAAATAATTCATAGAAGATACAAAGATACAATGCAAAAAGTTGAAATAGTTTTATAAAATAAAATGGGTGAAAATACTTCCAGGCTGATGAATCGTATTGCGCAAGAATATTGGAAACATATTGTTGAAATCAGCGCTGCTAATAGAGGTGCCACTATAATTAAATCTGCAGCTTCATATAATTTTCTCAACGATGACCATGAACATTGATCAGAACCTGTTTAAAGTTGATGAATCTCTAATCACACAATTTATAGATAGTTTTAAAGGGGTTACAAACTTTATCTCACCACTAAATATAATTTTCGAAGCATATTCCTCAACAAAATTCCTCAATGAAACAACATCCAGGTAGAAAGTTCATCTTATTTTCCAGCAGCATTTGGTAGCATGGAAGTGCTTTTTCAGTTAATCTGAATCTGATAATGTGACAAATGGGTCAAGTAGCAAAGTAGCTATGCAGAGTTCTATATAAAATGGGTGGCTATATAAATAGTGTTATAAATAAACAAAAGAACTGAAACAACTTGTAAAAGATATTAGTGCTTTGGCAGTTAAAAGTGAGCTCCTTTGTTTATGTGTTGTTTGTTTTCCAAATACTTTTAATAAGTCTATATCAAAGATAAACAGCAGTGAGTTTGTGGGCATTTACAGATTTGTTGCTGTTTCATTATATTTTTATTCACAAATTTATTACAGGATTTGTCAGCATTTAATATTTAAACATACTGAGTTCAGATGTGTCCAGTATATCAAGTATCATATATTTATATATGTAAAAATTTTTAACAAAAATTCATATTGTTTACAGGAAAAGCTGTTTCAAAGTGCTGATGGTCATTCTTGATAGTTCCTGCTGAAGTGGATAAAATCTGAGACAGCATGGAGACAAAATAGACTTCATTATAGAAAAGTAAATACAGAAATTTGTTTGATATATATATTTTATGTATATATATATATAAAATGAGTTTGATTTATATAACATAAATTTTAATATATTTTACTTTAAATGATCAAATTCCTGACATGCATCCACCTTATTTTGTAAAGTACTATGGTTAATTAAAAATTGAATGTAAGAAAAGAAAAAGGAAATAATGTTTGAATTGATGCTTGTTACAGTATGCTGTGATTTAATATTAGATCTGGACTAGATAAAAGCTTTGTGATTAGCAACTCTTCTAAAGAACTAAGAGTGGATTTTGTATAATGTATTTTCTTTACTCTCTTGTTAAAGATTTCTTGCTGAAACAATTTACTTCAAGGAGTGCAGGATGACAGATCGTGGAATAAAATGGGCTTGTGAGTATTGTACATATGAAAACTGGCCATCTGCGATCAAGTGTACCATGTGTCGTGCTCAGAGACCTAATGGAACTATTATCACAGAAGATCCATTTAAAAGTACTTCAAGTGATGTTGGTAGAGACTGGGATCCTGCAGGTATTGAAGGAGGCAGCAGTCCTTTGATATGTCCAGATTCTAGCGCAAGACCAAGAGTTAAGTCATCTTACAATGTGGAAAGTGCAAATAAGTGGTCATGTCACATGTGTACTTACTTGAACTGGCCTCGTGCAATAAGGTGTACTCAGTGCTTGTCTCAGCGTAGGACCAGGAGCCCCACAGAATCTCCTCAGTCTTCAGGATCTGGTACAAGACCAGCTTCTTTTTCTGTGGATCCTTGTGAGGAATACAATGATAGAAATAAATTGAATATAAGGACACAACACTGGACTTGTTCTGTTTGTACATATGAGAATTGGGCTAAGGCCAGAAAGTGTGTTGTCTGTGATCACCCACGGCCCAACAACATTGAAGCAATAGAACTAGCAGAAGCAGAACAGGCTTCTTCAATAATAAACGAGCAAGAAAGAACGCGTTGGAGAGGAAGCTGCAGTAGTGGAAATAGCCAAAGAAGATCACCTCCCACCGCTAAACGAGAATCTGAAGTGAAAATGGACTTTCAGAGAATTGAAGTGGCTGGAGCTGTTGGCAGCAAAGAAGAACTTGAAGTGGATTTCAAAAAACTAAAACAAATAAAAAACAGAATGAAGAAGACTGACTGGTTGTTTCTCAATGCTTGTGTTGGTAAGTTTTATTTATTTCACTTGTAAGGCAAAAATATATACATACACATTGAGGTGCATGTTGGCAAATTTCATATAGAGCTAGGATTACAATAAATGCAAAAAATTACAAAAATCTGCAAAACATTCATAAATATACCAATGAAGGAGAATGTTTGTAGCTTAGGGTTGAAATGAGGAGTCCTTGATGCTCTCTGAGCTTGCTTGTTTTCTTGCAGATGTTTCATTGCCCTAACTAGCTAACATCATCAGTGCTAGTAAGGAGTGCTGTGTGCTGTCAGTTTATATTCCGGTGTCTTGGCTGTCTGTGTGAGTGGGGGCGGTCTTAGGGATTCTTTGGTTGGGCAGTGCTAAAGAGCCATTAGTAAGCAGGCCAACCAAAGAACCTGTAAGACCGCACCCACCCACACAGACAGGCAAGACCCCAGAATATAAACTGACAGCAAACAGCACTCCTCATTAGCACTGATGATGTTACCTAGTTAGGGTAATGAAACGCCTGCAAGAAAACAAGCAAACTTAGCACCAAGGGCCCCTCATAAATATATATATATTTTGAACACTGTAGAAAGAAGAACAAATTCTGCTAACAGAATAGTCAGATTTTGTTAAGAATTTAGAGTTGTACTGCAGTTATAAAATACAATTTAACTGTATTTCTGTTTTCTATCTAAAATCCTGTTATTCTTGAAATGGCAAGATGTATTTTAGAATTTGTTTTAGTTCTTAAATCATTCATAAGCATGTATATTTCTCATAAGGCAAAAAATAAGGTGAAAAAATAAGAGGCAGGTGTCTCTTGAAGCATACTACTTCATTTTGAAATGCTGATCACTTAGTAAAATCTTTGTATTTCCTTAAGTAGTCTAGCATAGATGCAGGCAATCTTTTTAGGTTAAGGACGCCTGTAGTATTATGCCATGTCTCTGATGGCACATCTTCCGTCATGGATGTAAGGACTTACGAAGGCGTACAGAATCCTTTTTTCCCCTTACACACAGATAATTCTCAACTTGTGACCACAATTGGGACTGGAATCTCAGTCCTTGAGCAAAGTGGTCATTAAGCAAGACATCATGTGACTGCTTTGCTTAACAGTCCCAGTCCCAGCATTTTCAGTTGTGGTAATTAAGAGATCTTTCAGGTCATTCAGTGGATGGAGTTCCAGATAAGGAGTATGAGGTGGAGAAGTGCCTTGGGGGGTGGGGGAGGCAAACTCTGGGAGGCTCTGCTCAGGAGCTGAAAATGTTATCTGCCAAAATCCAAGCAGGAATTTTAGCTCCTCAGCAGAGAGACACTTACATGCGACCTATGTTGGCCCTCCCAGGGCTTCCCTCACATCCCTGATTCACCTTATGCACCTTTTTTTTACTGTGATGCCTCTCTGCTCAGAAGCTCTGCCAATTGTGAAAATTTGAAAATAAATTACAAGATTAAAGAACACAATAAAAATATAAAATATTTTATTTAAAAATAAAATATTTAAGCAGAATCATACATTAAAAAAATAAAACAGATTTAACAGATTTAAGACTACGTGAATACATATTTGTCTATTTGAAAATCAGTAGATATTTGCTATCTTTGACCCCACGTTAATTTGAATAAAACTTGTTATCCACTCAGTTTTGGCAAGATTTTATTGCAGCATAACAGTTACTTGTCATGTTTTGTAAAAGTAATACAGGTAGTCCTCAACTTTCAATAGTTTGTTTAGTGACCATTTGAAGTTATAACGGCACTCAAAAAGTGATTTATGACCAGTTTTCATGCTTATGATTATTGCAGCATCCCCATGGTCATGTGATCAAAATTCAGAAGCTTGGCAACTGACTCATATTTATGACGACTGCAGGGTCCCGGGATCATGTGATCACCTTTTGCAACCTTCTGACAAACAAAGTCAATTCACACAGATTCATTTAAGAACTTAGTACTTAAATGAACTTCATGTTACTAACTTAACAATTGCAGTGATTTACTTCACAACTGTGGCAAGAAAAGTTGTAAAATGGGGGAAAATTGATTTAACAAATGTCTCGCTTAACAATAGAAATTTTGGGCTCTATTATGATCGTAAGTTGAGGACTACCTGTGCATAAAATACTATCAAGATGTTGTTCTTCTTGTGAGATACATACATAATTATCTGAAATACTTGAAAATGTTCATTTTTTCCATTTATGCTAGCCTACATATATATAAAAATTTATATATTTATTAAAAGCTGCAAATGAGGAATTGAACATTCTGTTCCTCACTTGAAAATAGAAATCTTTTTGCTTGTGTTTGAGAAATAGAGAATTTAGCAGATGGATATCTTAATGGGATTATCAAATATTTGTGTACATGTTACAGTACTACTGATGGGTCAGAACAGAATAATCAACTGTAGTATATTTATTTGTCCTATCATGTGCCTAAGAACAGTGACAAGTGTTTTTTCTGGGTATTTCCCTTTTTTATTAGTATGAAAAAGAATGATTTTTTTTTTACATATGAAAGTATCAGATGGTATACAGCTTTTCTGTTGGGCTGAAATTAGGAATTCTACAGGTTCATATCTTAATATTCATATCTTGCTTCTTGTAATGTTGCATCTTTAAGAAGTCAATGTACTGATTTTTTTTCATGAATGCATTTTTACCTGACTCAAGTTTCTTTGATGTTTTGCTATGCGGTTTTCCATGATTATTCATGGTAAATGTAATAGTCAATTTTGGATTTATTTAATTTAGTATATGAAAAATATATGAGCAAAATAGATTCTGCAGACTCCTTCCTTATAATAATTCCATTTTATGCCATATAAATAATATTAATTCTTTGACATCAACCTGTGACATGCTTAGTTTCTTGTTAAATTTTGCAGTTCCAAAAGGTGTTCCCTTTTGCTAGGTGGAATCTGGAACTATATAGAGCAGTGGTGGAGAACCTATGGCATGGGTGCCAGAGGCGGCACTCGGAGCCCTCTCTATGGGCACACGTGCTGTTGCCCTAGCCTTGCCTCCCCCGCGACCCCCTCCTCTCCAGCAGCCCCCCTGGAGGAGACTCGCCCCCGAGTGTGGCCCACGCGGAACAGTGCAGCCAAGGACATGGCAGCCAGTCAGCCTAGACAAGACTCTGCCCTCACGCCCCATCGTGCACAGTTGATGCTGCGGGGCGCGGGCAGAGGGCGTGGCCACCATGGCGCTGCTAGGCAATCTGTGGTGGGCCCTGGAGAAGGTGAGTGGCTGTGAGGGCAGGCGGGGTGGGGGCGGGGCAGGGGGTGGAGCGGGGGCGGGACCAGTTTTTGGGCACTCGGTCTCTAAAAGGTTCGCCATCACTGATATAGATGTATTAATATAATTGTCTGTAATTTTTAATCCTTAATATTTACTGCTTATAAAATCAAAGGGGAAACTGACTTCATCAATATCTTCAAATTGATTGCAGACATTCATCTGGAAACATAGCACAAAAGGTTCACTCAAAATCCTAGTAGTTTTATTTTTTAATAGTTGTATTCATTATAAAAGTCTTTTGTAAGATAGGCAACTTGAGAGTCCTCTAATATTTTGGATAGTATTTCCCACAGTCCATTTTTAGTTGTGATACTGGAAGAAGTTAATGGCTTTGCAACTAATAAAGCTATACTGTTATTTTTGTAATATTTTAAATTGTGTATATTATGCCAACCACTCACAAATTCTGAGAAAGTACTGTAGTTATGTAAAAGTTAGATTTAATGATTAAAATAGGATAGAGTTTTGTCTGTTGTGTTTCCATTTTAGCGCTAAATTGATAATGTGGATAGGATATGAATCTAACAAAAAATAAAGTTGTATGTTGGGAAACTGCCAGCTAGGCTGGAAGGGGGGTGTCAAGTATAGGCTTATTAGCTTTGAATCCTTGTGCAGCCACAAGAGGTATAAGTTAGATCTCCCCCAAGATCCTTTGGAGATTTATTTGGTCATTCCCAGTGGAAAGCAAGCAGTCTGGGGAGATTCTTGTAATTTAATAAAGAACAATAAAGTTGCTAGCTATTGCTATTTACGAATGGCTCTGGTTGCTTGTACTTTGTTGTTCCCATAAATAATATATAAAGCGACAAAGTTCGCTTAATTTATAAAAAAAAAAATTCAATCCATTTTTATATACAGTGATACTTGAAAATTTATGAACCCAATTGAATTTCAGTATTTCTGCATAAATATGATCTAAATCATGGTTTATTTTCCACAAAAATCCTAAAATTAGATAAATATTTTTGCTACGCACATCTATATAGTTTTGGATCATTTCTCTCAGTAAATAAATGGACAAGTATAATATTCTGACTTATTTGTTTAATTGACTTCTCTTTATCTAGTTTTAGGACTTGTGTGAAAAAAAACATTTTAGGTTATATTTAGAGCTCAATATTGAAAATTCATTGGGATTCTCAAACTTTTATGCACTATTGTATCTAATCAGCATTTTATTTTTAATATCAATATAGAATAAAATAAATGGAAAAAATATTTATATCTGACCAACATTTAAAAGAAGAGAGTAATATTACAAGACATCAAACATAAAGCAATATAAAATAACAAAACCGTATTTATACAGAAAATTCTGAAACAATTAGTCGTGTAAAGTAGGTACCAGATGAATTCCACATTTGAAATGTTAAAAACTTAGAAACCTTACTGCAAATACCTAAATACCTATTGTGCATGAGAAAAATGATAACTTCCTGGTCAGAAAAGCAATTTAAGATTTCTAACAATTGGTGTTATGAGTGCTTTCCTCCATTTATTGTATAAATGGTTTTCTGACAGTACAGGTGTTTCTACTTCTATACCAGATCATATTATAATTTATTTATTTTCTTATTTTTATTTTCATTAACTTATATGCCGCCCTTCTCCCCATGGGACTCAGGGCGGCTCACAGCATGTTAAAACAATATAAAACATTTTCCCCTATAAAAGCCAATTAAAAACCAAATACTTATCGCTGTGTCTTATTAAAATT